GGAACCAAACAGCTATCTGGTGGGGAATAGGGTCAGGAATTTGCCTCTCCTTCATCCAGGTCTATATGCTTAACAGTCGTCCAACGTCATCTGGGAAGAGAAAGGAAGGTCAACAAATAGTCTGGTTTAAAAGACTTTCTGTGATAGAAACCTATTTCTAGGGTTCTATCGATAGGATTGGAAATTTGAGAATTGATGGAGATTTTAGGGATTTAGAAGAGAATTTGGGGATCAGGAATAGAATTGGGGAAGAACAAGAACAGAATGGCCGGCGGCCAGAATAGGTTGAGAAGAGAGTTTGAGAGGATTAGGAGAGATTAGGGTTGAGAGTGATACCTTGATAATTCTTTCTTGATTCCCCCTCAATAAAACGCAAAGCACATATTTATAACAAAAGACGGGAAAAACCTAATAGACTAACCTAATATGACTCAAAGACTACTAACCATATCTAGATAAATCCTAATAATTATTATTATTATGATAGAACCCATAAATTAGGTTTCTATCATTCTGCTTCTGAAGTGAGACGTTGTTTTAGGTCTTGGAAAGAGATTGCTTCAAATAAAATGGATGGGAACCATTGGTAGGGAGGTAGCTAGCTCCGTCAGGTCCTGCAGTATAGTTTCTGCAGACTATTACTTGCTTAGCTTTTTTTTTTTTTTTTTTGACAAATCATATCAACTTTTATTCCACCATAACAACTTCCACACAAAAGCTATTACAATTCTAGAGGAGAACAGAAATTAGATCAAGAATATTAATCCAGTCTTCTGGCAGAGTAGACTTTGCCATTGATCGTGCAACCCAATCTGCTCTGACGTTCAAAGTCCTCGGAACCTCTTCCACCGAAATAGCTGGGTTATTCCTCAGGATATTGACCATTGTTCTAATCCAGGCTGCACATCTCCAGGGCCATCGAGACTGATTATGATTCAGGGCCTTCACCAGCATTTGACAGTCAGATTGAACTGTACATACCGATCCATATTCTTGTGCTAATTTAATTCCTTCCAAAAGTGCCTTAGCTTCCGCTTCCATTGGGGTGGAACAAAGAAGAGAATCAGCTCTCCCATCACACACTTGTCCATGGTGGTTAACAACAACAACACCATATGCCGCAGACTGGGGGTCGCTAAAGAACGACCCATCACATTGAATCACAAACGAGTGACTACTTGGCGGTGGATTCGTAGTAGGGTGGGATCCCCTGAGCTGAGTGGGACCATCAAAGCCTTGAGGAGGGGGCCTCGGGCAAGCAATCCATTCCGTAAGCTCTCTATAAGTTTGTAGACAAACATTTGGGGGCCAGGGAACTCGATTCTTGAACGTGCATTCATTTCTTGCCTTCCAGATGTTCCAACACAAGTAGATAATATGAATTAGGGAGTTTTGGGGGATGGTATCTTTGAGGGAGCAGAACCAATCAAAGAAGGAGGTGCCCTGGGGAGGAATCGGAAGGGATGGGAAAGTGATATTCCATGCTTCACTGGCATGAGGGCAGTAGAAAAGGCAGTGGTTGAGGGATTCAAAAGTGTTTTGACACACTTGGCAACTCGAGTTAGGAGCACATTTGCGTTGGAATAGTCTTGCTTTCGTTGCTAACCCGTCTCTGGAACATCTCCATAAAAAGAATCTAAGTTTTGGTGGGATATTCAGTCCCCAGATCCATTTCCACTTCTCTTCACTACCATTTGACTGGAAATTTGTATTGGCTTTGTGAACAGCGTGGTAGGCCGTCTTGACCGAGAACTCTCCCTCTCGGGTGAGACTCCACGCCCAGAAATCCTCAGATCCCTCCTCCCCAATTGGGACTTTAAGAATAGCCGCCTCTTCATCTCTCGTCACATTACCTTGCAGCAAATCAATATTCCAGTTCCTACTCACAGGGTCGATCCATTCCTTTACCCTCAAGTTTTGCTGGGGGCCACTTCCAATGACATAGTTTTGGAGGCTTGGAATCCATGGGTCCTGACCAATCCAAATATCCTCTCCAGATCCAATAACTCTAATTGCTCCCATGTTGATAACCTTTTTTTGCCTCCCACAGACTCGCCCAAATCCAAGATGATCTCTACTCCCTTTTTTCGATTGCATGAATCCTCCTCTCGGGAAGTACAGGCCCTTCAGGAGCCGACACCACAAGGCGTCAGGGTGGTTAAGGATCCTCCACGCTTGTTTTGCTAGCAAGGCCATGTTAAAATCTTTGAAGCTTCGGAATCCCAATCCCCCTTCTGCTTTTGGTGCGCACAGAATATCCTTTCTGCACCAATGCATTGTGCTTTTCTGCATTGACCCTGACCAGAAAAAGTTGGTTAGGAGTGAGTCCATCTTCTTTGTCAGGTTCACCGGGAGATTAAACAGGTACATGATGTAGGAGGGTATAGCTTGAATGACTGCTTTGAGTAGCACTTCTTTCCCTCCATGAGAAAGTAGGAGGCTTTTCCATGCTTCACCTATCCTCTCCATTCTCTGAATCAGGAATTGGAATGTTTCCTTCTTCGAATTTCCCCATTCCGTCGGGACTCCTAAGTATTTGGTGTGGCAGTTAGACGAGGCAAAACCGATGTGATCAATGATTGCTGCTTTATCCGCATCGGGAACATTCGCACTGAAGAAAACAGATGATTTGTTGATATTCACTTCTTGCCCCGTGATGGTCCCATATTCTCTTATAAGATCCAGAATTTTCTCCGCTTCTTGTAGATCAGCCTTGCCAAAGATAACAGTATCATCTGCAAACAGGCAGTGTGTTAGAACTGGGCATCTTGCATTCAACCTAATACCTTTTAACTGGTTCTGGGAAACCGCTTTATCAATCAGGAAGGTAAGAGCATTAGACATTAGAATGAAGAGGAAAGGAGATAGAGGGTCTCCCTGTCTGATTCCCCTTGACGGTTTGAACTCCTCTGTTGCTTCCCCATTGAAGAGGATGGAGAAATTGACCGTCCTGATACAAGAACTAATCCATCTACACCATCTATCATCAAACCCATACTTTTTCAGCAGAACTTCGAGACAGTCCCAGTCCACCATATCATACGCCTTCTTCATGTCCAACTTGAGCATCATATCCCTTCTCCTTCCCTTTTTGTGGTTTTTGAAATGATGGAGGGCCTCGTGGACAATAATGACATTGTCTTGGATAAGCCGTCCACTGGTGAACGCTGTCTGGAGCTCCGATATAAGATCAGGCGTCCAGATCTTCAAGCGGGTTGCCATAATCTTCGAGATAATTTATATCTAAAATTGCAGCAACTGATGGGTCGAAATTGGCTTATCAACTCTGGGTGGTCCACTTTAGGAATCATGATGATATGTGTGTCATTCCATCCAATCGGCATAGTTGCCGTCTCAAAAAACTCCTTAACCTCTCTACAGACTGATTCCCCGATGATATCCCAAAATCTTCGGTAAAACCTACCCGAGAAACCATCCGGGCCTGGAGCCTTTTTTGCTCCCAATGAGAAAACAGCTTTCCTAATTTCCTCTCCTGTCACTGGGGCACAAAGAGCTGTGTTCATCTCATCTGTAACCTTTTCTTGGAATCCTTCCATGAGATTGGCAAAGGAGATAAGGTCTCTCGCTTTAAAGAGCTCTTTGTGGAAATCCTGGGCCAAACCTTTGAGCCTATCTTCATCCTCCACCCATTCTCCTATATCATTCTTGAGTCTGAGAATTCTATTCTTATGTTTTCTGTGGATCGTGCTAGAATGGAAAAAGGAGTTATTCTGATCCCCTTTCTGCAGCCAGTTAACTCTTGAGCACTGATTCCAAAACTCCTCCTCCTCCCTCCACATCTTTGACAGTTCCTCGATTAGACTTTTCTCTTCCTCCACCCTTTCCTGGGTTCTCGGAGGCCTTTGTAGAATCTCCAGTCGTTCCAAAATTTCCTTTTCTCTTTGTAAACTGTTCCTATGAAAGTCTTTTGACCAATCTTTAAGATCTTGTTCGCATTTAGCCAGTTGGTTCGACGATTGCCCTCCTGGATCCCAAGCTCGGACCACAATCTCTTTACATTCCTCCTTATCTAACCATCTTTCATCGACTCTGAAAGGTGTCTTTTTCCTCCTATTCCCTCTATAACAGAGCTCGAGCCTGATCGGGCAATGATCCGATGCCACCATCTTCTCATGAAAAACAGTAGCGTCCCCGAAGAGGACTCTCCAAGAAGTCGAGCACAGCACTCGATCAAGTCGGACTCTCGTTGTATTTTCACCGATTTGTTTATTGGTCCAAGTGAAGGGATCACCTTTAAAACCAAGGTCAATAAGTGCATTATCGAAAATGAACCTTTTAAAAGGTTCCACATTCTCGTACCTAAGGGGGCATCTCCCCTCCTTCTCACTTTCATAGATAGCAGCATTGAAATCTCCTACAATCACCCAGTTATCCTCCCTACTACTCCAAAGAGAGCTAAGGTGCTCCCAAAAATCCCTTCTACTGACAGCGGTAGAGGGTGCATGAACAAAAGTACAGAAAAACTTCCTACCCATATCGATACTACAATCCATATAATAGCTATCACTACTTAAAACGTTAATACTAATACCCGCTTTCCACCAAAGCGCAAAACCCCTAGAAGAGTTAACCGGTTCAACATACTCTTTATTGGGGAAAATATTGAGGCTTCTTCTTTGCTCCTCCATGAATGCTTCATTTTTGCTCGTTTCCATGAGGAAGACAATCGAGGGGCCTAAACGTCTACACAGCCGTTTCGTATAACTTCTTGTAAGGGTTGGGCCAAAACCCCTACAGTTCCAACTTACCAAACTCATTCTTGAAGAGGTGGTGAACCACCGCTGCCCTCGTGTCCCTTCCTTGCTCCTCTTCAGATGTACCCTCCCTTGCATTCCTGATCGATTGAGCTTTGTATTTTTTGTTTTTTTTTCTCTTTGTTTTTTCCCCCATGCCCTCCCATGAACACCATCTCTGCTGGGCCATATGGAAATTCGGCCCCTTCATTTTCACTACTGCTGGGCCTTTCCTTGCTCTTCAGGCCCGTCCCTTTTCTTTTCTTTTGACCACGGCCCATCTCCACCTCCAAGGCCTCTTGTTGGTGTTGATACAGAGACCCATCTGTTGGGCCTATGTTACCCAAACTTTGGGCCCCTCCTGCTCTTCCCACTTGCTGCGTCGGCCCTAGAGATAGGCCTGTTTCCACCGCCTCCTCCTCCGCTCTTCGTTGGTCGGCGCTGCCCTGTGATCAAACTTCTTCCAATCGGAGGCTTCCCTCCATAGCCGCCACTGCCCTTTCCAAATCCAAACTCAGATCCCTTTCCCCCATCTCCTCTCGATATCGCCCTCTCTGTCTCCCTTGATTCTCCTCTTCCTCCCTCACTGGATGCCCCAACTCGATCCTCCTGATGGTGAATCCAGGGGGAACTTGTGGGTTTCTCTCCACCTGGACTCTTCCTTCCCGTTCAGCCCTGTCGTCCCCGTCAATCCCCCGCCGCTGATAGTCCCCCACCCTCGCTCTGTTTCTTCCCCCCTGAACGTTCTGTGACCCTTCCCCTTCTCTGCTATTTCTGAAATTGCCCGGTCTGTTTGGAGAGTCTATCCCTGCCTTGAGAGATGCGTTGTACACGTCCGAAAGGTAAGCCACTCCGTTCCTCCTCCTCTCCTCATCCATTCTCCAGCAAGTCGGCCAGTTGTGGCCTATCCACCCACAGAAATAGCACAGTTCCACGAGCCTCTCATACTTGAATTCAACCACATCGCAATACTCCACCCCTGTTTTCTCATCTGTGAATGGGAAATCGAATCCTGTTGGAATCGGCTCCCTGAGATTCACCTCCACCAGAATTCGTAGGAATCTTCTATAGCCATTAAACCCAAGACTAGCTCTGTCGAGGTCGAGGAAGCCTGGGAAGTAGTGTGTACCTATTGCCACCATATTCTGTTCATTCCTTTGGTCTTGGTGCATCCCATGGATCTGCACCCACATTGCAATCTTCTCCAAAGGTATTTCCTCTGGCTTCCCTCTCCCGTTGTATTTCTCCAGAGCTGTCAAAGTGTTGGATAAACTCCACGGCCTATCTCTCCAGATTCTTTCTCTGATCTCCTGGTTACTGAAGGTGAAAATGAAGAGGTTTTGAGTCTCTGTAGGCTGGACGTTAACCTCTCCATATCCACCCCAAGCATAGCGGGCTGCCCCTGCTGCTTTTGCTAGAGCCACCCTGCTTTCAGTTAACATTCTCCCCAGCAGCATGGAGATTCCACTCCCACCAGTTGAGATCAGGTTAGGGCCGCCCTTTCTTCCTGTTGTTGTTGTTGTTGGGACGTGTCGCAACCGTCCCGTCCGGGAGTCCGTACGTCGTCGCGTCGGCATTTTTGGGAGTCGCCATCGATCTTAGTTGGAGTGGATCGAACACTCTTAGGATCGGCTCTAACCTTAGGGTCAGAACCGAGATATGGTCTGCGAAAATGAAGTTCTGGGTTCGGGAGTACGGTTACGTGTAGGGAAGTTAAGCAACACCCCCACAACGCCCTAAATCGGTACTACTTAAGTCGATAAGTTTTATACGAGTTGGGTGTATTTTAGTAATAATTTGTAATTTTAGGGGTCCCACTGGACCATTTAATGATTTAATCATATTAGTTGTAATTTAATTATACGCCCACTGACGTAAAAATTTAAAGATAAAGTTAGTTGATTAATTGGACTCGAACCTTATCGGTTGCCTACGTACCCGTAAGACGGGATCAAAGTCCACGTAGTTCGCTAGGACTTTGATAATTTAATTGTAGCTTTTACCACGTTCCACTGAACGTAATTCTCGTATTATAATTTTATTGTTAAAATTTAGATTGATTATTATTAGGATTTTAATTAGAAGGATGTATTTTGGTGTAATAGAAAAAGAAACGAAACAAACTTAATCCACATTTCACATTTCGTATTAAGGATTGTAAAACAAATAAAACTGAATGGGATGACAATATTAATGCATGATGGGCTAGCAGCCCAACTGGCTAAAACGTCAGACCAGGCTCGCGTTTGAACCGGAGGACGTGGGTTCGAAACGCGCTAGTGGAGGAATTTTTTATTTCTCGTTTTGATGTAGAGAAGGGGGAAGGGCATTCTAGTAATTTCACGAAAACGCGGTGGCAGGGCCGCGTAAATAGCCGGAAACCCTAGGGGCATTTTGGTCATTTTAAAACTTGAGGTATATATAGGCTCTTAAAGCGCAAAATCAAACCCTACTCTATTCGACCTAGCGGCCGCCGCTCAAACTCTCCCTCTCATCCCTCTCTATCTCTCTCGGTCAGAGACCACAAACCCTAACCCCCGATCCAAAACCGCCGCCGCTCTCTCCTCTCGTCCCTCTCTATCTCTCTCGGTCAGAGAAACACAAACCTAGCCCCGATCAAAACCGCCGCCATCTTCTTCTTCTTCCTTCCCTACCAGAGAATAAAAACCAAAAACCCTAGCCTAAATAAAACCTCAAACAGCCGCCATCACTCCCTAAAACACTCGCCTCGTCCGAGCTACGAGGACGACGAGGATGGCGACATGCGCCGCTGGTGGTGATGAAATCAAGTTTTGAAGGTTTGTTTCCTTTTGCATATCCGTTTAATGGTTTTATTTGATATTTTCGGTTTGGATTCGTTTACGATCTTGTTTTGATTTTTTTTGTTTATCTTTGGGGTTCGACGAGAGGAGGAAAAGAGACGGCGGAAGGCGGCGACTGTGAGACGATGGTAGTCAGTGACGACGGTGACATGCGCCGCCAGCGATGGCAAGAGTAAGGTTCGTTTCCTTTTTGAACGATTTCTATTTTCTTTCAGACTCGATTTTCTAAGGTTTCATAGATCTGATTCCTTTTTTTTTTTGTTTATTTCCGTAAAACTAAACCGAGTCCGAAATGGGACCCTCGATCTACCGTCCCCTTTTTCGATCTACTCTCTTTCGTAGAAACGATGAGGATGGTGAAGAGATCTCGGTAAGATATTGTTTGCATGTGGGATTTTGTTTGATTTTAGATTCAAAATTTAGGATCTGATATTTTATTTTGGTTTTTTTTATTTATGCGAGGGTTTTGGTCGAGGAGAATGTAGCGTCGGCCGGCGAGGTTTCCCGGCGGCGATAGGCCGACGATGTCACAGGTAGTTTTATTTTTTGTTTTGTTATTTCTCTTTATTGAATTTTTTTTGGGTTACAACTGGTTTTGACTCTGATGTTTTGTTCTGTGCAGGTTTTTGAGTTTGAGAGATCTGGGTAAGGTTTCTAAACTTAGCTTAGTATGACTGGAGAGGTTAAACTGAAAAAAAAATGAAAAGGATTGTGTTGCGGTTTAGATTTAGCCTACAGATCTGTGGTTTGAAAATATGTTGTATGTGCGTTTGATGATCTCAAATATTTTCATGCTGGGTGGTTTGGTGGATGGTTTTAGAAGTAACTCCTAATATGCTAGATTTTTCTAAAAATGAAAAAGAAAAGAAAAAAAGAATTTTCTATAATTGGGAAGTAATTAACATGCTCTAAAATTGATAATTTTGGCAACTAAAAATCACTGCATCTGCTTGTGACTTTACCAAAGTGGAGTTCAAAATATGAAATATAATTATGTAGGGTGATCCTATTGGATCCAAATCACACCCATCATAACGCCCAATATACAAAAAGGTGGTGGTTTTGGTTCTTTAAAGTTTGTCTACTTTACTTTCTACTGTCAGTTGTTAATGTCAGTATTCCAATCAATCGACAAAACTTAAATTAGAAATTGATGTAAATGTATGGAGGCGCTTAATTGAACTCATCTTAATCCGAAAAGAAATTACATGAGTGAACTTTGTATGAGTAAATAGAGCCCTTGAATGAAAAGGGGTTTGCACGAAGTAAATCGTTTTAATGAGTAGGCAAGTTGATGGACGATTATAACAGTACAACGATAGAGTAAAGCGATGCTAAATGAGATGAAATTTATCACGAATAATGGAAGTAGAGTTAAAAAAAAAAAAAACACCAACCTTATTAAGATATCTGCGCCAAGAGTGCTTCCTTGATGCTGCTCCGATTGAATCCCTGGACTCAAGTCTCGTGTTGTAATGAAGAGATTAGAGTTAGAATTTCTGTATGTTTTTCAAATCTTCCCCTCCGTCAACACAGAGCCCAAAGAGCTCATTTATAGCAAGAATTGCATGCCACGTGTCATGCTGTGATTGATGATGAGCATGACGTGCTTCTCTTTGATTGGTTGTTTCTCAAGGCTGCTTCTGAGGCCTCCACCTTGCTTAGTCTATGATTGATGATGAGCATGACATGCTTCTCTCTGATTGGTTGGTTCTCAAGGCTGCTTCTGAGGCCTCCACCTACAAAGGTGCTGACTAACTGCTTGGATAAGATTGGGCCGAGTTGGGCCTTGAATTCGTTTGGGCCGGTACCAGGGCTTGGTCTAGTCCTGAACCTGGGTTCTGTTTTGGGGCGAATTGGGCTCTGTTTTGGGTTGTATCATGATCGCTTTCTTTTTCATTTTGCAGGTATGTGATCTGGTTTGGGCTCAAAGAGAGGAGAAGAAAAGGAGCCCAATGACTTCAATTGATGAGTCGGCCCAGTTTGAAATGGTGTTCAAACTTCAAATTTTTTGTTGTTAGTAGTAACAGGCAGTCATTGTAATTAGTTTCAGTTCATACTTTGTACCATGTGTCAAATTTAACTATAAAGCTTTTGCCTCCATTTCATCTATCACGCCCATGTTCGAACCTCAAGCTTTGCACCTCTATTGTTTTTTTATAATTAATGTTTAAGATTTGCCACTACTAATCTTATTAAATCGATTATATCTTAACCAATCCTAGAATCGACTAGGTTGGTAATATTGATTAGTTATTGACTTGCCACTGCTAGTCTCAACCAATTCATCACAAGTTTCCACTTCCATTTGTTGTTATATTTTTATTTTACATAGAGTGTTTGTCCCGGACAAAATGTGGTGTCTACAGTTGCCCCCCTTTGTATATCTCTTTGTATAAAGAGTTATACAAAATTTTATAAAGACACCACATTTTGAAGAAAATCTCATAAGTAGAATTGAACTGATCGTGGTAATAATGACGTATCCATATTGTTAAGATGATGGTAACCAAATTGTATAAGAAAATGGCAGTGATGAAATCAAACTGGCCATTCGGTAACAACGAACAGCGATATACTCAAGTTGTTCGTGATAGAAACAAATTGATCGATTTGGGAACATGTTAGCGATGAAATCAAGCTAACCATTTTGTGACAATGATATAATCAGGTTTTCTGTGATAGAATTTTAGACGAACATCGGAATAAGTGTTAGCGATAAAATCAAGCTAACCATATTGCAACAACGATGTACTCAAGTTGTCTGTGGTAGGAACCATGTTGGCCAATGAGAACGAAGATAGTGATAAAATCAAGCTAATCATTTTGGTAACCATGATATGCTCAAGTTGTCTAAGATTGAAATCAAATTGATCAATGTGAAAAATGACTGTGATAAAATCAAACTAATCATTTTGTAAAGGATCTTGTACTCAAATAGTTTGTGATAGAAATCAATTCAAACAATGAGAGAATGACAACGATAGCGTAAATCTAATCATTTTATAAGGACGATGTACTCAAATTGTTCGTGACAAAAATCAAATCAAACAATGAGGAAGATGTCAGTGATAAAAATCAAACTAACAATTTTGTAAAGGACGTTGTACTCAAATTGCTCGCGATAGGAATCGAATCAAGCAATGAGAAGATGTTAGTGATAAAGATCAAACTAACAATTTCATAAGGAAATTTACTCAAATTGTCTATGATAGAAATCAAATAGCACAATGAGGAAAGTGTTAGCGATAAAGATCAAGCTAACGATTTGGTAAAGGATATTGTACTCAAATTGTCTATGATGGAAATCAAATAGAACAATGAGGACTATGTTAGCGATAAAGATCAAGCTAACGATTTGGTAAAGGATATTGTACTCAAATTGTCTATGATGGAAATCAAATAGAACAATGAGGAAATGTTAGTGATAAAGATCAAACTAACGATTTGGTAAAGGATATTGTACTCAAATTGTCTATGATGGAAATCAAATAGAACAATGAGGAAATGTTAGTGATAAAGATCAAACTAACGATTTACTAAATAACGTTGTACTCAAATTGCTTGCGATAGGAATCAAATCAAGCAATGAGAAGATGTTAGTGATAAAGATCAAACTAACAATTTCGTAAAGGATATTGTATTCAAATTGTCTATGATAGAAATCAAATAGAACAATGAGAAGATGTTAGTGATAAAGATCAAACTAACAATTTTGTAAAATATATTGTACTCAAATTGTCTATGATAGAAATCAAATAGAACAATGAGGACTATGTTAGCGATAAAGATCAAGCTAACGATTTGGTAAAGGATATTGTACTCAAATTGTCTATGATAGAAATCAAATAGAACAATGAGGGAATGTTAGTGATAAAGATCAAACTAACAATTTTGTAAATGCGTAGTGGTATTTCGCATAAAAAGTTTTCACATACTATTTATATGGATATTTTAGAAATTTAGGAAATGATTGTGATGCATAGCAAGTCACTTTAATGTATAATGATGGTATGACGTGATTATCAAAATGATTTGAACATGATTTTGTGATATGTCATGCATGATGAAGTCGTGAATGTTGAGTGACATGATCCTTTTGAAATTAGGTATGCCAATATGTTGTTTTGTTTTGTTGGTTATTTTGTTTTTACTCGGGGTTCCTTTAAATTGCTCATCCTCCAGGAACTATCATTTCCTTTTGATCAACTCGATCCATAGGTCATGCTTATGTTGGAGAGACTTTGAACTTGTTGTCTTGAGGTGTATCTTTTTGGGTGATAGTTGCGTAAAGATATGCTTTGTAAGTTGAAATGATGATGTATGTCGCCTTAATCCTCTTGTTGGTCAGGCTTGGAGCGACTTTCGACTTGTTGTCTCAGGATATATCTTCTTCATGGAAGTGGTGTGACAATATACTTTGTCGAATGAGTTGAGGATGTGTACTGCTTCATCATTCTTGATGGGCAAGCTTGGACCCAGAAGTTTCAGAGTTGTGTATCTCTTGGAATGTGCGGTATAGTAGGACTTCCTTCTTGCTGTGCAGTTGAAGTATAATTGATTGGCTGATTGGCTTGATGAGATATGAATGTTCTCAGGAGATTTCCTCATCAACTCGTGAGTGAAGTTGAATAATCTGATTCTTGGGTACTCAGACTTCCCCTTCTTCCATACTGCACCGTTTTTGCCCCCCAAAGATCTGTTGCTCACTTTCTATTCTCCAGAACAAAGAGTGACTTTATCAATCTTGACTTAAGATGAATGCAACAATGTTTGAAAAACGTTTATTAGAGAATTAAAATTGAAAGCCATCTCAAGACTTTGGTTTTGAGAAGTGTGTGCAAACTGGACAAAACCGTTTTTGTGTGGTAGTTGTCATATTGCCAAATTTGGTTTTCTAAGAGAAATGTAAGCCAAGCCATGAGAATATCAGTAACTCTCGCTCTCACGCTTGCTTTCGATTTTGATCGCTCTCACTCCCGCTTTGGATTTCGCTCATCACTCATTCCTATAGGTGATTTGAGTGTACGACATTTCAGCTACCATTAAGATTCTGGTCACCTTGAGACGTCGCCTTTATGTTGTGGCCAACTGTTTTCCTTGTGAAGATTAACTCAAACATGGAAACCCTTGGTATGAACGAATTAGGAGGCCTCCATATGGATTCGTCGCAGACATTTTTAGTCTCCCACGAAAGAGGCTTTTGTCCGATATGACTTTGAGGATACGAGTCTCCTTGTTCTTGAGGTGTAGTTCGACAATATCTGTATAAAGCTTCTTGAAGAGGGATTTTGGATTTGCCCCCAAAGTATGGGATTGACTTGATGGATTAAGAATCACTTATTATCTGGATCTTTTTGCTGACAAAGTCTTGTTCGAAAATACTGGTGGATTTCTCTGGGAATGTATCTTCAGATGAGTTTGCCCCCCAGTATTTTTTGCTAGCCGAGACTATGATTTTTGCGAGTTCAATCGGGCTTGGAACTTTTCGAGATCCTTGTATGGCCTCTAAATGTTGAATGCTGTGGATTTTCAGCTTATGGCTTTCTCTCAAAATGATGAGTACCTTGGATGATGTGATTTTGGTTATAACGGCTTTCTTATCATGGAATTTTCTTGCTTGAAGGTTCTCATTGTTGTATCTTGAGGTTGATCTGCTAAGACCCTGACTTGGTGCAGGTATTCGGTACTTCAAATGCTAAACCGGGGGCACCCAGATTGTAAGTCCCACGACATTTTGTTTGTTTTTCTTTTGTCTTTGTTTTTTGTTTTGTTGTTTTTCTTTTTGCTTTTCACTTTTTTTTTTTTTTTTGCGTGTGGGACTTACTTGACTCTGTCATGCCCCCGACTATGCTTTTTCTTTCTTAATCTGGAGCTTGTCTTTGGTGGGACGAGTATTGAAAGGATCGAGAGTCCATTTTGATGATTGATTGTGTGGGTGTCACTTCTCGTGAGCTAGGTTGAATTGGCTATTCGTTTTGTAGAAGTGAGGATTTTGATACCATGCGCTTGTTTGTATAGATGAGTGCTTCACTCGTGTGATTCTTGGGTTTTGATAAATGGGATCCCTGAACTTCCTGGTCTTCTTGTCACTAGACACTTGTGAGGGTTTTCTTGGTATGATGCTAATGTTTTGGCTCCCTATGCATCGGGATTGACCATTTGACTTCTTGTAAACTGAATGTCAATCCGTTGGCGAAAGTCGACTATAGTGGTGTCGAGATTCTACAAGTAGCATGATGTCGTATACTCATTACACCTTTTTCCTATTAGCTCACATAATTTATGGACACCAGTAGGGTGTTTATCCCTTGATTTTAGCGAAACACGTACACTCTCAACGCAGTGGGTGCTAAATTTATCGATGGTAGCATGGTGTTTATAATCGCTCGACACCAGTGGGGTGTCCCAAATCTCAGCACCAGTGGGGTGCTCACATTTTCTTTGCATGAAAATCTCATGGCTTAGCTTGAAAATAAAACTGGATTTTGATGGCTTTCATGTTTGAGAAAATAAATCTGTTTTAAAAAAAGAATCCGAAGTGGCATTCGTTATTTTGATAAAAACATTGATGCAAACTCTTAAATTTAGATTGATAGTGGTCACACAATGCTCCAAAGAGGTCGAAACGTGAGAGACCTTTTATTTATTATGATAAAAGCAGAAGTGATACATATTTTGCTAAGGCAAATTATCTCGATATTTTATTTACTAGGTAGGATCAACATCATCCTTAAATCGAGCTTTGCCTTGTAGTATGTCTACTAATTCCCATGAGTTGGCAGTGGGTTATTGTTGACATCTGGACGCTTTGGCTCATCTTCGAACTTTAACCAGCCAGTATTCATCATTTGTTGGACCTTGATCTTGAGCGATCTGCAGTCCTCAGTCGAGTGTCCCGCTACTCCCGAGTGGTAAGCACAATGTTGGTCTGTTTTGTACCAATTTGGATAAGGAGGTTTCATAGGTTCACATCGTATTGGGGAGATTAGGTTACTTTGAATTAGCTGAGGGAAAAGTTCAGTATATGTGATAGGGATAGGATCGATTTGGATGGGTTTCCTGAACCTCTCATAATTATTCTGGTTTTGGTTATTTGGTGGTGGTGCGACTCGTGTCGGGCTCTGGATGGCTCGTTGAGTAGGAAAATTTGGACGTTGATTAATTATTGCAGCATTTGCAACACATGGATGGGCTTGATTGGCTTGAGGTTGATGATCCCACCTTCTTCCTCTGGGTAATTCTGTTTGAGCATAATGGACATCTGCTTCTCCTCTTCGGGCTTGGTGTGGTTTCTTAGAGGCTTCTGGGGTTTCCATCCGACCTTGCTTCAAACCCTTTTCTATTCGCTCTCCGATTACAAGCAGATCCGCAAAGTTGGTTGTGGTAATTCCGACCATGTTGTTGTAGTATGGAGCCCTTAGTGTTCCGAAGAAGATTGAGACCATCTCTTTTTCTGACAGAGGAGGTTGAACATCTGCAGCTTTCTCTCTCCACCTTTGAGCATATTCTCTGAAAGACTCTTTCTCATTCTTTTCCATATTCCTCAGATCTTCTCGGTCTGGAGCCAGATCCTGGTTATGCTTGTAGTGCCTCATGAATGCATCTGCGAGGTCTTGCCATCTTCTCACTTTTGTTTTCTCTAGTTGCATATACCATCGTAGGGCAGAACTACTCAGGCTGTTTTGGAAGCAATGTACCATTAGTCTTTCATCTCGAATATGGTTGGCCATTTTGTTACAGTACATGACCAGATGACTTTTTGGGCAAGTGGTGCCATTGTATCTTTCAAATTCTGGCATTTGAAATTTGTGAGGAATCACGACATCTGGGACCAGACATAGTTTTGATGCATCCATAGGCTCGTACGACTCAACTCCTTCTATGCTTCTTATTCGTTCATTCATGTGTTCTAATTTTTCTTCTAGCATAGCTTCAATTTTATGTTCCTCTTGCTTCTCGGGTTCTCCGGATTTGTCATGCTTTGATGACCCAATATCACCTTTTTCGCCTGTGTTCTTCGAAGGTATGAGAATGAATTTACTACCTGAGACGTTTCCCTGAGGTTGCTCATAGTGATCGTCGTCATCAAATACGATTTCTTCCTCGTTCGTTGCAACCTCCTTCCCTTTTCTGGACAATATGCTCACTATTGTGTTGAGCTGGCTTTTCATCTCATCGAAGCCCGTTAGTTTCTCATCGAACCCCACTAGCTTCTCGTCAAACCCGGTCAGCTTTCCTTTGATGCCGTTCAACTCTTTTTGAAATGCATCCATGACGACCTCGAGCTTGGATCTAGTTAAGTACTTGAAGTCTTGATTTTTTCCTTGTGGACGAGCAATTTTAAGGAACCCTGACCAATTACTTTTATTAAATTGACTTGAATGAACGATGGAGAGTACGTATGATGCTTATGCGATGCACAGATGCACAGATGATTCATTGGATGCACGTGCATTTTGAAAATGTCCACATGATTTATTTTGAATGCATAAGCGTAAACCCAAAATGATGCTTATGAGTTTCTTTTTTTTTTTTAAAAAGAAGAAAAGAAAAATTCACATTGTTCTCACAAATAAATATATCGCGATTGGTAAAACATACCACAAATTATCACGTCAGTAGAAAACATACATATAGATAATAAGAACATAACCCTATTTGGGAAAACTTAGGGCTTTCAGAGGGCATAATGACGCGGTTCTAGGTTTGTTTCGGGATTATTTTGGACGGTTTAGGGAGGCCTCGATGCTTACTATATGCTGGCAGAGGAATTCCTAAGGATTTGGCTCCCAAGTTGTATCCTACCATAGCCCTTACGAACTGGTTGGATACCTCAAGATCATCCTCGGATCTGAGTTCAACTTGGTTGGAAAGTTTTGCGTGACTACCACCACTGTGAAAGTCACGGTACTCCTTTTCCGTTTCTAATAGGATAGCTCGGGTATAGAGCTTTTATGCATGAATGCAGAATTAAATTGCGAAAACATAATTGCGCAAATAAGAAAGTAAACACCCAACACGTAATAGAAAATTAGAAAACTTATCGAACTTAGTTATGTAGCTCGTCTCTCGAAGTCCCCAGCGGAGTCGCCAACTGTCGCAACCGTCCCGTCCGGGAGTCCGTACGTCGTCGCGTCGGCATTTTTGGGAGTCGCCATCGATCTTAGTTGGAGTGGATCGAACACTCTTAGGATCGGCTCTAACCTTAGGGTCAGAACCGAGATATGGTCTGCGAAAATGAAGTTCTGGGTTCGGGAGTACGGTTACGTGTAGGGAAGTTAAGCAACACCCCCACAACGCCCTAAATCGGTACTACTTAAGTCGATAAGTTTTATACGAGTTGGGTGTATTTTAGTAATAATTTGTAATTTTAGGGGTCCCACTGGACCATTTAATGATTTAATCATATTAGTTGTAATTTAATTATACGCCCACTGACGTAAAAATTTAAAGATAAAGTTAGTTGATTAATTGGACTCGAACCTTATCGGTTGCCTACGTACCCGTAAGACGGGATCAAAGTCCACGTAGTTCGCTAGGACTTTGATAATTTAATTGTAGCTTTTACCACGTTCCACTGAACGTAATTCTCGTATTATAATTTTATTGTTAAAATTTAGATTGATTATTATTAGGATTTTAATTAGAAGGATGTATTTTGGTGTAATAGAAAAAGAAACGAAACAAACTTAATCCACATTTCACATTTCGTATTAAGGATTGTAAAACAAATAAAACTGAATGGGATGACAATATTAATGCATGATGGGCTAGCAGCCCAACTGGCTAAAACGTCAGACCAGGCTCGTGTTTGAACCGGAGGACGTGGGTTCGAAACGCGCTAGTGGAGGAATTTTTTATTTCTCGTTTTGATGTAGAGAAGGGGGAAGGGCATTCTAGTAATTTCACGAAAACGCGGTGGCAGGGCCGCGTAAATAGCCGGAAACCCTAGGGGCATTTTGGTCATTTTAAAACTTGAGGTATATATAGGCTCTTAAAGCGCAAAATCAAACCCTACTCTATTCGACCTAGCGGCCGCCGCTCAAACTCTCCCTCTCATCCCTCTCTATCTCTCTCGGTCAGAGACCACAAACCCTAACCCCTGATCCAAAACCGCCGCCGCTCTCTCCTCTCGTCCCTCTCTATCTCTCTCGGTCAGAGAAACACAAACCTAGCCCCGATCAAAACCGCCGCCATCTTCTTCTTCTTCCTTCCCTACCAGAGAATAAAAACCAAAAACCCTAGCCTAAATAAAACCTCAAACAGCCGCCATCACTCCCTAAAACACTCGCCTCGTCCGAGCTACGAGGACGACGAGGATGGCGACATGCGCCGCTGGTGGTGATGAAATCAAGTTTTGAAGGTTTGTTTCCTTTTGCATATCCGTTTAATGGTTTTATTTGATATTTTCGGTTTGGATTCGTTTACGATCTTGTTTTGATTTTTTTTTGTTTATCTTTGGGGTTCGACGAGAGGAGGAAAAGAGACGGCGGAAGGCGGCGACTGTGAGACGATGGTAGTCAGTGACGACGGTGACATGCGCCGCCAGCGATGGCAAGAGTAAGGTTCGTTTCCTTTTTGAACGATTTCTATTTTCTTTCAGACTCGATTTTCTAAGGTTTCATAGATCTGATTCCTTTTTTTTTTGTTTATTTCCGTAAAACTAAACCGAGTCCGAAATGGGACCCTCGATCTACCGTCCCCTTTTTCGATCTACTCTCTTTCGTAGAAACGATGAGGATGGTGAAGAGATCTCGGTAAGATATTGTTTGCATGTGGGATTTTGTTTGATTTTAGATTCAAAATTTAGGATCTGATATTTTATTTTGGTTTTTTTTATTTATGCGAGGGTTTTGGTCGAGGAGAATGTAGCGTCGGCCGGCGAGGTTTCCCGGCGGCGATAGGCCGACGATGACACAGGTAGTTTTATTTTTTGTTTTGTTATTTCTCTTTATTGAATTTTTTTTGGGTTACAACGGGTTTTGACTCTGATGTTTTGTTCTGTGCAGGTTTTTGAGTTTGAGAGATCTTGGTAAGGTTTCTAAACTTAGCTTAGTATGACTGGAGAGGTTAAACTGAAAAAAAATGAAAAGGATTGTGTTGCGGTTTAGATTTAGCCTACAGATCTGTGGTTTGAAAATATGTTGTATGTGCGTTTGATGATCTCAAATATTTTCATGCTGGGTGGTTTGGTGGATGGTTTTAGAAGTAACTCCTAATATGCTAGATTTTTCTAAAAATGAAAAAGAAAAGAAAAAAAGAATTTTCTATAATTGGGAAGTAATTAACATGCTCTAAAATTGATAATTTTGGCAACTAAAAATCACTGCATCTGCTTGTGACTTTACCAAAGTGGAGTTCAAAATATGAAATATAATTATGTAGGGTGATCCTATTGGATCCAAATCACACCCATCATAACGCCCAATATACAAAAAGGTGGTGGTTTTGGTTCTTTAAAGTTTGTCTACTTTACTTTCTACTGTCAGTTGTTAATGTCAGTATTCCAATCAATCGACAAAACTTAAATTAGAAATTGATGTAAATGTATGGAGGCGCTTAATTGAACTCATCTTAATCCGAAAAGAAATTACATGAGTGAACTTTGTATGAGTAAATAGAGCCCTTGAATGAAAAGGGGTTTGCACGAAGTAAATCGTTTTAATGAGTAGGCAAGTTGATGGACGATTATAACAGTACAACAATAGAGTAAAGCGATGCTAAATGAGATGAAATTTATCACGAATAATGGAAGTAGAGTTAAAAAAAAAAACACCAACCTTATTAAGATATCTGCGCCAAGAGTGCTTCCTTGATGCTGCTCCGATTGAATCCCTGGACTCAAGTCTCGTGTTGTAATGAAGAGATTAGAGTTAGAATTTCTGTATGTTTTTCAAATCTTCCCCTCCGTCAACACAGAGCCCAAAGAGCTCATTTATAGCAAGAATTGCATGCCACGTGTCATGCTGTGATTGATGATGAGCATGACGTGCTTCTCTTTGATTGGTTGTTTCTCAAGGCTGCTTCTGAGGCCTCCACCTTGCTTAGTCTATGATTGATGATGAGCATGACATGCTTCTCTCTGATTGGTTGGTTCTCAAGGCTGCTTCTGAGGCCTCCACCTACAAAGGTGCTGACTAACTGCTTGGATAAGATTGGGCCGAGTTGGGCCTTGAATTCGTTTGGGCCGGTACCAGGGCTTGGTCTAGTCCTGAACCTGGGTTCTGTTTTGGGGCGAATTGGGCTCTGTTTTGGGTTGTATCATGATCGCTTTCTTTTTCATTTTGCAGGTATGTGATCTGGTTTGGGCTCAAAGAGAGGAGAAGAAAAGGAGCCCAATGACTTCAATTGATGAGTCGGCCCAGTTTGAAATGGTGTTCAAACTTCAAATTTTTTGTTGTTAGTAGTAACAGGCAGTCATTGTAATTAGTTTCAGTTCATACTTTGTACCATGTGTCAAATTTAACTATAAAGCTTTTGCCTCCATTTCATCTATCACGCCCATGTTCGAACCTCAAGCTTTGCACCTCTATTGTTTTTTTATAATTAATGTTTAAGATTTGCCACTACTAATCTTATTAAATCGATTATATCTTAACCAATCCTAGAATCAACTAGGTTGGTAATATTGATTAGTTATTGACTTGCCACTGCTAGTCTCAACCAATTCATCACAAGTTTCCACTTCCATTTGTTGTTATATTTTTATTTTACATAGAGTGTTTGTCCCGGACAAAATGTGGTGTCTACAGGACGACTCCACCAGCATTCCTAGCATCACTATGCGCCACACTGTTGGTATCCATTAGGATGAGAGAGGGGTTAACTGTTTTTCTATGCTCTGTGATTTTTGCAGGGGAGGCCAGAATATGAATCCAAAGCCAGAGGAAGCAGAGGGGATGTTTTCTTTTGGAAGCAATAAGACTTCTCCTTTTAACCTCGTCTTCTTTGTGTCTCTTCCTAGATCGTTGAACCTTCCACCCTTCTTTATGGCGGTAGATAACAATCCTTTCAACCCCTTCATGACTCCTCTGTTGACTGAACTTTACCCTGCTCTGCTTCTTCCCTATCGCAGCAGGGGCTCTTGGCTCGAAGCCCTCCCTGCCCTGTACTTGACTATTCGTATTAACTCCATAGGATAGTCTCTTCTGTCTTCTATTCCTTTCCTTCCTTTTCTTCTTCTTCTTGATCTGGCAATAAAGCCTACACCACCACCAGTCTGGTGGCTTCCAAACATCACTTCTCTTTATGATTCTCGCTGCCCCTCCCCTGTGTTGTCTTGTCTCTTTTCGAATATTAGTTTGTGGATTGCAGCTGTAGCTTCCCTCTCCTTGATATCCTCTATACTGTGAGATCTCCTTACACACCCCCCTTTGATTCTTCCTAAAACCCTCTGCTAGAGCTGAACGAGTCCCACTCACGGGGACGGAAAAAGACCCGTTGGAGGGTACAGAGCAAATGCCCGTTAGAGAGAGAGATGAGAGAGACATTTTGTTTCTACCAAAATTCTGCATTTACTCCTTACTTGCTTAGCTAGGAAGTAGATAGTTGCATGCTGCTATGACAGCCGTTTGGTTTAGCAGTCACTGAGCTTAGCTAAGAAGGTAAATATGTGCAGGCCATACTTTAGCCGCTGGTTCACTATACAGATCACCGGGCATGTAGACTCTGTAGCCATGAAAGGTTCACTAGCATTGTTCACTAAACAGATCATTGTTCACTATCCATAGGAACAATGCTAAGAACAATACAAATCAAGGTATTGTTCACAAAAAGGCATTGTTCAAAAGGCATGAAAGGACTTTGCAAGTGTAGCTTCTATAGGAACAATGCGAAAAATATTCTAAAGAAATCTATAATCAAATCCTCTATGACATGATAAGTACCAGACTTCTTGTGAGGAAGACCTGTTCTTTGAGATGGAAAAGGACATAATTGACACCAAACATTTATGGCTTAATTGCAAGTTTGGTCACTAGAATTGCTACAAAATTTCACGTTTGCCACTCAAATTAATTAATTCCATTTATAGTCACTTAAATTAGGTTAACATTCCAAGTTTGGTCACTGGCCATTAGTCTCCGTTAACTTTTGCTGATGTGGCGGTCAACTCTTATAGTTGACCGTTAAATGCATGACGTGGCAATTAAAAAAATTTAAAAAATAATTTTTAATAATTTCCACCTCATTATTACAATTTATTAAAAAATAATTAAAAAATGTCATAGAACCTATAGCGAAAGAACAGATGCACCTACTAGCTAATAAAACTTCCAGCCATAGAACACCCCTGATAAATTCTAAGCAC